TTTGTTTATTTTACACTTTGAACTTTGTCCGGGACATAACTCTAAAAATGTAAGAGGTATCAACATGAAACTTTGTAGGTAGATAGATCTCATTGAGTAGGTGTGCAATGCACAAGAACCGTAACTCTGCCTTGCTTAATTTTTGAATTATCTCCCTTTGTTTATTTTACACTTTGAACTTTGTCCGGGACATAACTCTAAAAGTGTAAGAGGTATCAACATGAAACGTTGTAGGTAGATAGATCTCATTGAGTAGGTGTGCAGTGCAAAAAAAACCGTAACTCTGCCTTGCCTTATTTTTGAATTATCCCCCTTTGTTTATATTACACTTTGAACTTTGTCCGGGACATAACTCTAAAACTGTAAGTGGTATCAACATGAAACTTTGTAGGTAGAAAGATCTCGTTAAGTAGGTGTGCAGTGCACAAGAACCGTAACTCTGCCTTGCTTAATTTTTGAATTATTCCCCTTTGTTTATTTTTACACTTTGTACTTTGTCCAGGACATAACTGTAAAACTATAAGAGGTATCAACATGAAACTTTGTAGGTAGATAGATCTCATTGAGTAGGTGTGCAGTGCACAAGAACCGTAACTGTGCCTTGCCTATTTTTTTAATTATCCCCCTTTGTTTATTTTCACACTTTGAACTTTGTCTAGGACATAACTTTAAAAGTATAAGAGGTATCAACATGAAACTTTGTAGGTAGATAGATCTCATTAAGTAGGTTTGCAGTGCACAAGAACTGTAACACTGTCTTGCCTACTTTTGGAGTTATTGCCCTTTGTTCATTTTGACACTTTGAACTTTGTCCGGGACATTACTATAAAATTATATAAGAGATATCAACATGAAACTTTGTAGATAGATAGGTCTCATTGGCTGGAAGTGCAGTGCTTAAGAATCATTACTCTGCCTTGCCTTATTTTAAAGTTATGTGATTTAAATGTCTATGTTTTTCAACTTTTTGTAGTTGAGTTTTAAAGTGAATATTTGTCCATAATGGAAAACAGTATTCAGTATCATATAGTACAGACAGAATTATAGTAAGTGGGTTTATCACATACCCGTGCCGATTTTGCGACTCCGTAAAACGGTATTGCATGGTCGTGCCTATATTTTGACGTGACGTCATTTGCGTTAAACAAACATAGTGCAAGACGCGCTAAATGTTAACGTTACACTCTAGGCGCGTCATTGAAGAACGATTCTTTTTCATTTTAAACACTCCTTATATTTGGTATGTGATAAATAGAATATTATATTCGTGTAAGTTCAATACTGAATTTATTGAACTCGTTGTATAAAATAATATTATGCTCGCATGAGGCTCGCATGATATAACTTTTTATCACACACTCGTGCCGATTTTGCGACTCCTTAAAAATGGTATTGCACGTGCATATATTTTGACGTGCCGTCATAAGCGTTATACAAACATAGTGTAAAGACGTGCTAAATGTTAGCGTTATACTATAGGCGATTCTTTTTTTCACTTTAAACAGTCTTTATTTTGGGTTTGTGATAAATAGAATATTAAATTCGTGTAAGTTCATAACTGACTTTATTGAACTCGTTGAATAAAACAATATTATGCTCCCAAGAGGCTCGCATTATATAATTTTATTCAACTCGTGCAATAAATTCAGTACTGAATTATAAGATATATATATCCTCTAAATATGGAAATATGGTTTTTTATGCTCCCCCGAAAAATTTCGGGGGAGCATATAGTCGCCGCCTTGTCCGTCCGTCTTTCCGTCCGTCCGTCCGTCCCCTTTTCTTGTCCGGGACCTAACTTTGAAACAACAAGAGGTATCAACATGAAACTTTGTAGGTAGATAGATCTCATTGATTGAGTAGGTGTGCAGTGCACAAGAAACGTAACTCTGCCTTGCTTAATTTTTGAATTATTCCCCTTTGTTTATTTTTACACTTTAAACTTTGTCCGGGACATAACTCTAAAAGTATAAGAGGTATCAACATGAAACTTTGTAGGTAGATAGATCTCATTGAGTAGGTGTGCAGTGCACAAGCACCGTAACTCTGCCTTGCTTAATGTTTGAATTATCCCCCTTTGTTTATTTTACACTTTGAACTTTGTCCGGGACATAACTCTAAAAATGTAAGAGGTATCAACATGAAACTTTGTAGGTAGATAGATCTCATTGAGTAGGTGTGCAATGCACAAGAACCGTAACTCTGCCTTGCTTAATTTTTGAATTATCTCCCTTTGTTTATTTTACACTTTGAACTTTGTCCGGGACATAACTCTAAAAGTGTAAGAGGTATCAACATGAAACGTTGTAGGTAGATAGATCTCATTGAGTAGGTGTGCAGTGCAAAAAAAACCGTAACTCTGCCTTGCCTTATTTTTGAATTATCCCCCTTTGCTTATATTACACTTTGAACTTTGTCCGGGACATAACTCTAAAACTGTAAGTGGTATCAACATGAAACTTTGTAGGTAGAAAGATCTCGTTAAGTAGGTGTGCAGTGCACAAGAACCGTAACTCTGCCTTGCTTAATTTTTGAATTATTCCCCTTTGTTTATTTTTACACTTTGTACTTTGTCCAGGACATAACTGTAAAACTATAAGAGGTATCAACATGAAACTTTGTAGGTAGATAGATCTCATTGAGTAGGTGTGCAGTGCACAAGAACCGTAACTGTGCCTTGCCTATTTTTTTAATTATCCCCCTTTGTTTATTTTCACACTTTGAACTTTGTCTAGGACATAACTTTAAAAGTATAAGAGGTATCAACATGAAACTTTGTAGGTAGATAGATCTCATTAAGTAGGTTTGCAGTGCACAAGAACTGTAACACTGTCTTGCCTACTTTTGGAGTTATTGCCCTTTGTTCATTTTGACACTTTGAACTTTGTCCGGGACATTACTATAAAATTATATAAGAGATATCAACATGAAACTTTGTAGATAGATAGGTCTCATTGGCTGGAAGTGCAGTGCTTAAGAATCATTACTCTGCCTTGCCTTATTTTAAAGTTATTGCCCTTTTGTTTATTTTTACTTTTTGACTTTTGTCAATGCTTAAATGCTTAAAGAACCTTAACAAAGCCTGGTCTAATTTTGGAGTTATTGCCCTTTGTTCATTTTTGCACTTTGAATTTTACCCGGGACATAACTCTGATATCATCAGGAAACTTTATAGATAGATAGATCTCATTGAATAGAAGTGCAGTGCAAAAAAACATAACTCCGCCTTGCCTAATTTTGGAGTTTTTGCCCTTTGTTCATTTTTTATACCACCTTCCTGTGTCCAGAACCTTCTCGGGGAGCATCACCCGGTTCAACCGGTTCTTGTTTTTATTTTATTTACCTCTGTAAGCTTTGCTTACACATGTCATATATAAAAGATATTGAAAGAGTGTAAGTTCAATACTGAATTTATTGCACGAGTTGAACAAAATTATATTATCCGAGCCTCTGGCGAGCATGTTATTATTTTATTCAATAAATTCAGTAAAGAACTTACACGAATTTAATGTTCTATTATCACATACCCAAAATAAAGACCGTTTAAAGCAGCACGCCTCCAGATTCATCCTAATTTTCATGAAAAATTTTAAAATGTATTTAAAGGTAAAATATTGTGAAATGAACAAAGAAAGTACTTGTCACATTACAATCGGCACTTAAAATCCACTTAAATTACCAAAAAGAGGTCAAAATATGCATAAATAGCCCCCAATGCGTTAGTAACGCAATAGAGATATGGTGATAAATACTACAAAATACAGTCATTAATTACACATAAGATATAAATTATCACTTGAATCTTTAATTTGTTTACTTTTCTTAAAGGTTTAGTATTGTTTTCCAAGTTTAATTTTCTTGAAATATTTTGGGTCATCTGGAGGCATGCAGCTTTAAAGATCCTGTATGTTTTGTGATTGATATTGTTACTGTGTGTATACCACACTTGCAAAAAAATTATATATGTATATAATTATGCAAATAAAACAATTTTCAAACATCGAATAATATGTAAAATGTGTACTTCAAATATTTGTGCACATTATATTTAATCAATAAATTACATGCATTTATTTCTTATTCGAAAATTTGACTTAGAATTTATAGAAAATAAATTTCTAATTACCTCCCTTTATTTACATGAAATGTTAAATTGGGTAATATCTTTATAAATAATGCTTAGTGGAACTTACAATAATTTGAGCATCATATTTATGAAATAAAACCATGAAAAGTTTGTGTTACATGATCTTTCAAGTGAAAAAGAGTCATTTTTCATTGACGCGCCTATAGTATAACGCTAACATTTACCGCGTCTTTACATTATTTTTGTATAACGCTAATGACGTCAAGTCAAAATATATGCACGGCCGCGCTATACCATATTTACGGAGTCGCTAAATCGGCACGGGTGTGTGATGAAATTCTGTACTGAATGATATATGTACTTTTATCAGTTTTATTAATTTCTGATTGTGATTTGATGAAATGTAAATAAATTATTTGAATTGAATTGATCTGAATTTTCCATGTATGCGAAACCGGCAGCTAAGTCCCGTTCTACAAAGGCACGTAACAACGATATCATTGTTATTGTCCCGTCCCTCATTGACCTTTACGTTACTCCTGCAGCAGAAAAAGCCAGCAGCCTCCTTAGTATTGACTTTTACGTTTTCTTTCCGTTAATATTTGTTATACAAGCTTGGTCTGCATTTAAGTAGCCGATGCTATAATGACAAAGGTTAAAATTATGGCACCATAATCATAATAATAATAATGATAATAATAATAAGAAGAAGAAGAACAACAACAGTAACAGCAGCAGCAGCAGCAGCAGCAGCAGCAACAACAACAACAACAACAACAATAACCCATTTGGAACAGTACAGACCATGATCAACCTATCAGCCGCCTGATCATGGTCTGCACAGTCCGCTTTTTAATCAGTACATAATTAAGGATTTCCCTAAAATGATGAATGGTTTTGTTCCGATATAAAGATGGACAAGTCTATTCCAGATATAATGCGTGGTAAGGTTAAACTTCAGTAAATTATTTAAAGATAATTCACTGAATTGTGTAATGAATGACTTTATTACATTGTATAATATTTTAACATAAAATTTCATTCAACAGGGATAAAAAGACATAAAATCGAACAACTTTCTACAATCAATCTACAAATAAATAAATATAATAATAAAAAACCACCACCACCACCAACAACAACAACAAAAATTTCCTCCAATCAAAGTTTTAATAATATTTTCAAAAAAATGTTTAAATATATATTTTTTATTACTACAACAATTTATCACAATCGACACTGCCTGTACAAAAAGGGATAAATACACGAAATTTATTATATCAAACTACCACCATTAAAATTAATGTTCACGTTCACAAAATAAGGGAAACAATTACTACGGGCTTAAACGCAATTTTTCACAACATACAGAGTTATTCTTGATGTTAATGTGCATTGGTATATTAATCGTAGAAAGGATGTGATGTTCAGGAAGTAAGTTATTTTTGCTTTATTAATTTCTTTTAACTTATTACCAACTATTAATTGAAATGCATAATTATATTGTCAAACTAAGATCGCACACTGTTAACATTTTACCGTAAAGCACGGAGAAATTCCGTGTCGTTTTCAGAAAACGGAAATCGAAACTACATACCTGTAGTATCGTATAAATTACAATCTATGTCAGTTTATTTCACTCGTATTAATTGGATATATCATGGAATTTAATTAGATGTCGGATAAGAATAAGATAGAAAAATACATTTGTTTGTGTATTATTTAACAGTATCAGCTGGGACATTCCTAGATAAAAGATCGTTATTTTCCAAAAATAAAGAATGACCTAGATTTAGGAGCGTTCTAGCATTCATTCAGTTTTGATCAAATGCGTGCCTATAAAAAAAGAATGATCTAATCTTCTGAATTTAAAATATTGTTGTTTTCGACTTCAGCTATAAAATGTCGGATGAAGTACAGGAAGAGGAAACCAATTTAGAACAGATAGAATATAAAACTGAAACACTGAGCACGGATGGGAATTTAACCAGAATTGAAAACACAGAATCGGCCGAAATTGTTAGTTCGTGTGCAAATTCTGACGAATTAAACTGTGATACTGGGATTACAAATACTCCTGAATTAACTGAAGAATCTTCCGCGAAGTTAATGGAAGACAAAGCTATCACTGGCAATGATGGGATTAATGAAAGTACTGAGACAGAATCTTGTGGTGTGAGTGGAGGTTATGTTGGTTCTGAAGAAGAATTCAGCAATCCTTGTCAGCCATGTTTAGAGAATGATAGAAATATTGACTCGTTGTTATACTGTGTCGAGTGTGAAGATTATTTGTGTGAAAAATGTGTGGAAATGCATAGAATGGTTAAACCTACCAAAAAGCATAAACTTGTACCTAAAGATGTACTAAATAACTGTGGAGATGAGTTGATGATAAACAGAGAAGAGGAGTGTCCTATTCATATGAAAGAAGTTATTGAATGGTTTTGTATTTCAGATGATAAGCTATGCTGCAATATATGTAAAGCAACTGAACATAACAAATGTGAAAGTATAGTTGCCATTGCAAGTGTAGCTGAAACAACAAACATGCAATCAATAGAAGAAAAGATAGCAGAAACGCAAAGTAAATTAAACGATGCAATTGAGAAAAAGAATGTAGATATCACAAACCTAGATGAGGACAGAAACGATTCATTGCAAGTGTTAAAGCAGATCAAACGAGACACCGAAGATACTTTCCAACGATTATTACGTTCTCTGGAGAAAGAAAACCAGAAGGTTGAAAACATACAAAAAAGAGAAGAAATTTTTTTCGGCCGATATAGAAAATTATTCAAGAATAATCAAGGGTTTAAACACAACTCTAACGTTGCTTCAAAAAGAAAACATCTGTCTTGAATACAAATTTATTCAAATGAAAAAGGCAGAACAGCAACTACAAGCAGTTCAGAAAGCAATTCTGATTGCGCCTTCTAGACCTGTATCACATAAAATTGGATATGAGAGAGACAAACAATATGATGAGAATTTGGCCGCTTTTCAAAGATTCGGATTCTTTGACAGTGATAAAAAAACTTACACAAGCTCGGAGTCAAGACGCATAAATATCATACAAGCGAGAGAGAAGCTTCCAACTGTGTTTGACATTTGTGAGGCAGGGAATGACAAGATTCTGATAACAGACTGGACCAATTGCTGCATTAAAGTTATTGACACAAACAAGGCAGTGGTATCAAGCACACTTCAAATGTCGGCAAGCCCATTTGGCATCTGTAAACTAGAAGATGGAGCGTTTGCTGTAACAATCACATACCATCGGAAAGTCAGTATTATAGAGTTCCATAGAAATATATCGGACCGCTTAAAGAAAGGTACGTCATTTGAAACAGGAGAATGTTGCCGCGGAATAGCATACAGTAATGACAGGTTATTTGTGACATGTGGAGGAGAGGGTGATAAAGAAGGACCAGGTCATATCAAAATGTTTGACATTGTGGGAAGAATATTGAAAACAGTAACGAATGACTCATTTGGAAAATCAATTGTTGGCTTTCCTTGTAAATTAACATTCCTTCCTGGCGGGACTACTGCACTTATAACAGATGTCAACAATTTGATTCATCTCAAATTATCAAAAAACGATAATTTTGATATTAAAAAGCTAAATACAACTTTGCCACCACAGACTAACTATGCATCAGTCTGCTTTGACGCGAATGGACATACTTTGATTGCGGAAACTTCTACAAAATCAATAAAGTTACTTTCGAAAGATAACACTTCTTTTGAACCAGTTGTGACAGGTTTGCAACAATTTCCGTGTGCAATATCATTCGATCACCTGAATTTAAAAATGTATGTCGGATTACATGAATCTGCAGATTTGTTATGTTTTCAGCTAGACAAAAACATGTGGGATAAGCCATCAACTTTCAGCTTAAGACCAAGTAATATTGATCAATGATTGAAACAAAGTTGATATCAATATCATTGTGAACAGTCATAAATTGAAATGATATTGATATGATGTTATCAAAACACACCAGTCTAACATTAAAATGAAATTTAATTGTATATAATGCTCAATGAAATTATACATTCAACTGCATGCCAATTTCATAGTAATTTTATGATTTAAAAAAATACAAAAATAACATTAATTCATGACTGACTAACTTTACCATTATAATTATGATTTATATGAATGAAATTGTTTAAATATACTTCTTTGTGTAGTTATTAATATGTTATCAGTAATATGTAAACTTTCTGAAAACGTATACTAGTACTCTAAAATACTAACAGATATCTTAGACATTGTTTTGATAAAGAGATAATTGCTATATATTAAACTTAATTACCAAAATTGAATTCATAATTTTTTTCTTTTCAATGTTGAACTGAAATACATGAACAACACATACATAATGTTAAATGTAAATTTGGACTATAGATTATACGTCATCGTGACTGTAGTTAATAGATGAAGATGAAGAAAAAGATACTGGTCCATAAACAGGGGAATAAAATAGTTCAAGAACAGATCATATAGAATGGTGTTGTTTTCAAGCTACAAGGCAAATCTTGACTTGATTCGTTGGTTTTGTTGAAGCAATTTATATTCAAATTTGAATAAGAAGATATGATAAGTTTCTTCATCTCTGACAATAAAATGTTTAAATGCCGACGTGAATTTGATGTTTAAAAAACGCAACATTTTTCTTGTACTACGCATTTCGCAATTATAACCAGGAAGTACTTATGAAACAGATTGTTAGTACATGTATACTATTATTCTTACATAATAAATGTTGACATTAAGCTAAAGATACTCGATTGTCTTCATATTCCTATCATGTAAAGGAGCATTGTGTGAAAGTAACATTTTACAAATGTTGAACAGTTGGTTACTAACATTTGATTCTATTTTAAGGATCAATGAAAATGATTGTTTATGCAAGATAATGTCGAAAAATGTCAATGTCAAGTTTAATTCAACCTATACATAGATGCTACTTGCATATGACCAAGATATATCATTCTCTAAATTCTGTCACACTGTAAACGTAAATAATAAATGGTTGTGTGACATGTAGACAAATTTTGTATGTTTGTTTATGATAAAATAGAGTGACGCTTACAAATTTCTAGCGTGTTCTTCTTGACTGTTGCTAAAGCTTTGAATCAATATTGATAGTTGAAATGAAATGAATAAAACACTTGATTTGTTTATTTTTTGTATGTTTTGTACTGGAAGAGTGCATACCTATATTAATAACATTATCATATGACTACCAATATCCCCGTATTGTGATTGACGGACAATAGAAAGTGATATTCACCTGAGGGTATTGATCAAAACAAACTGCGTGTACTTTATAACGTCAGAACAATGAAAAGCAATAGCCGGCCAATCAAATAGAGAAAAACAAATTTTCTAAAGAAACTCTTACATGACAAAATTGAAAATGTTGCAGGCTCGGTTTGATTAGCCTGTTCAAGGACGGTACTGAAAAGCGAAAGTTACCGTCCACGCCCCTATCACCGGCTTAAGCATTATTCAACATATAAACATGAAATGGCAAAATTTTGAATTTAGCAGCATCATTTCAACTATCAATATCGTATTGAACAACGTGACGTAAAATAAACATCATGTGTTACTTACAGAATCAGACAACGCTTGTTTTACTGTCAAAAATATGAGTATAAACTAAAAACGGCTTGCTGCGTTTTTATATGAATATTTACCTGCTTTAAAATGCAGTCGAATGTCAAAAAGATATAAACAAAAACAATGTACCAAATAAAATTTGTATTTTTGGTTGTACAATAAAACAGTTATTGCATAAAGACACAGTCATGTGAATATCCAATTATATCGGTCACCACATAAGCCAGGTGTATATATCTGTAAAATGACTTCACCATAAAATAATTGTAAAAAATACAAAATAGATGTGATGCCAAATTATGTGTATAGTTACAAAATGATAATTTATCTCGTAGGGGTTTACAGGAAAGAAATATTCCTATGTGTTTCAAATACTGATTAAATATCTCACCAAAGTTCATGTGTACATATTCTTACTAGGGACTTTTTTTCATTCAGACATTGCGATAACAGATTTCCTTATATTTTCAGAAAACGAAAAGCGAAACTAAATGGTATATTGATACAAATACCAAAGCGGAAGATAAAATGGATGCGTCTATCATGATAAATTTACAAAAGGTATAGCATTTCAAAATTTGAAAAAGTTTTCATGGACTGTTTAGTATGCATTATCTTCCGCAATTTACTAACAGTTAAATAAAATGCATATTTTGAAAAACTAAGACCACTCCTGTCGTTTTCAGGAAACGTAAATTGAAACTACAAACCTGTAGTATCATGTAAATTACATTCTATGTCAAATTATTTCACTTGCATTGATAAGATATGTCCATGTATGTAATAAGATGCCGGATTAGAATATGGATATAGAAAACTACATTTGTTTTGGAATTATTTAACAATATCGAGAAATATAAAAGCGAGGATATACGATAATTTTTATAAAGAATGACCCAGACTTAGCATAAGCTTTAGGCACCGTTTTAGCATTGATTCAGTTTGCTATAAAAATGGATAACATGCAATGTAATCACTAAACTTGTGAATAAAAATATTGCTGTTTTTCGACTTCACCTATAGAATGTCGGATGAAGCAACGGGCGGGAAAACCGATTTAAAACAGATAGAATATAAAACCGAAACACCGAGCAATGAAGGGAATTTAAACATAATTGAAATTATAGAGCAGGGTGGAGTGACAAGTTCATGTTCAAATTCTGAAATATTTAACAATGATACTGAGATTAAAGATACTCCTGAATTAACTGAAGAATCTTCCGCGAAATCAATGGAAGACTCAGATATCACTGGCAATGATGGGATGAATGTATGTACTGAGACAGAATCTTGTGGTGCGATTGGAGGTTATGTTGCCTCTGAAGAAGAGTTTAGCAATCCTTGTAAGCCATGTTTAGAGAATGATAGAAATATTGACTCATTGTTATATTGTGTCGAGTGTGAAAATCATTTGTGTGAAAAATGTGTAGAAATGCATAGAATGGTTAAACCTTCAAGGTCACATAAACTTGTACCTAAAGATGTACTTAATAACTGTGGAGATGAATTGGTGATAAACAGAAAAGAGGAATGTCCCATTCATATGAATGAAGTTATTGAATGGTTTTGTATTTCTGATGATAAGCTATGCTGCAATATTTGTAAAGCAACTGAACATAACAAATGTGAAAGTATAGTTGCCATTGCAAGTGTAGCTGAAACAGCAAACATGCAATCAATAGAAGAAAAGATAGAAGTAAATTTACCGGAACAATTAAAATGGAAATGGAATTCGTCTTTTGAAACAGGGGAACACTGTCGTGGAATATCTTTTAACAGTGAAAGGTTATTTGTGGCATGTGGAGGCGACGGTAAAAAAGAAGGCCCAGGTCATTTAAAAATGTTTGATATGACAGGACAAGTATTGAAAACAATTAGAAATGACTTATTTGGAAAAGCAATATTTGACTTTCCTTGTAAAATAAAGTTTCTTCCTGGAGGAACCACAGCAATTGTTCAGATTAAAATAGTTTATGCAAAATAACGGATAATTGCGGAATCATAACGCAATAGGAGATAATGCATGATCAAATGTGGTCAGATAAATCAAAACATTTATATATAATATATGTCCAAATATTGGTCTGTTTTCAAATTTAGAATAGTTTATGTCCACAAAATGACGGACAATTGCGGAATCATAACGCAATAGGAGATAATGCATGATCAAATGTGGTCAGCTAACAGATAAATCAAAACATTTATATACATGTGTATAATATATGTCCAAATATTGGTCTGTTTTCAAATTTAGAATAGTTTATGTCCACAAAATGACGGATAATTTCGGAATCATAACGCAATTATGAAATGTGCGCAGGTAAAACTTAGACGGCTGTCGAACGTGAATACGATCAGCAGTCAAATAACCGCACCATAGTTATAGCAATTATTTATTATCTAACACATTTGATTATGTTTGTTTTGAAAGTCACAAAAGTTATAGCAGAATCCATAGAAATAAAAAGGAGCTAAGGGAAGGTTTCAGCGTGTCTTTGTAATCTGTCAGCGATGCATTCTACAGTCGTGGGTTATCCCGCACTATTTCAATGAGCTTCTCGGTATTTTCTTTCGAAATCAATAAAGTATTTGATATCGTTCAAGGCATATTGTCGTGACGAGACCTATCTGGTGACAGTACACGTCCGTAAAAAAATCATCGGTCGTCCTGCGAAACGTCGCGGATGTCGTCGCGGACGCGGATTATAATCGGACAAAAGGAATAGACTCATACAAACGTATTATTTGTTGAGCGAATCACGGACGCATATCACGGTTCAAGTACCAATGGAATAATAACGGATAAGGAAATCTGACTTATCATGTTTTCAAAAATCAAAAAGCGAAACTATAGTACTATAAATAAATGGGAGATTGATACAAATACATAAGCGTAAAATAAAATGGACGTGTCCATTATGATACATTTATTGTATACAAAACGGGGTAGAGGTAGAGGATTTCAACATTTGACGAAATTGAAGCATTTTGAAGGTCAGAGTGAAGTTGAGTTTCAGTTGCAAACTGTTTCTTCGTGCCTGGATGAACAGAAAACGATCCTCAACCTGAGTAGTCACCATTATTCTGCCACCACCATGTCTAAGCGGTGTACCATGCTGTTGGAACCTCGCCCATGCTCGGGTGATAACCGTATGGTCCACACCAAACACCTCACCAACCTCAGGATGTCGAGCCCCCTGCTCCACCAGACCAACTGCTCGCTACAACTCTGCTTGTGAAAAATGCCTTCTAACATTTGCATTCGCCATTATTCAATCTTAAATGTTCAATATTTCAATGGAAAATGAAGAATGATCACCCTTCACGTGTCGGTACGTGTGTGTCTAATAAAAACTATCAAAATACAGGGTGGAAGTTGTTTGCACTACTTGCACGTGGAAATGGCCTGTCATTCAAGGTTATGTGTACACAGGGTACATTTTCGATACATTACTACACAATTTATAATGTAAATATCATAACATTGTATGATGTAGAATGCACGTTGCTATGTGGAAAAATTGGTGCTTAGCAAACTTTGAGTAGTATATATAGACAGTGCGGGCACGCTCGTAATGGTTTGTCCTAATGCCTTAGAGTTATATTAATTATGTCCTGATTAAACAATGTTATTATTAGATTATATTTATTATTAAGCAATACATTTAATAATCAAATGACCAACAAAAACATCGAATTTGAACATAAACAAAGTATATAAAACACACATTTATACGACATTACATCCGTTACAACAACAAAGCACACGTGTGTTTTACTGCATAAAAGGCGACTATTAAAGTTTTGAAGCCAGAACAATGGCCGCATAACCATACCAAAATCCTCTCAAAATAATAAGTACAGATAGATAGCTGAACATATATACAAACATATAATTATGAAAATAACAAAATATGTAAATCAGCTTAATACAACATGAACATGTCAAATATAACTGTTAACATAAAGAATGTTATCATTTTACAGAAATCAATCAAGAAATGAAAATTTACAGAATTAAAACATTGTACTCAGATGATAAATAAATGACATATTATAATAATAATAAAAATATGATTGAAGAAAGCACAGAGATGTATCGGATGTCAGCTCTATATATGTATTTCAGCTTTAAATTCTAAAATATACATGTACATTTAAACTACTAAAAAAGAACTTGTTTATTAGTTTCTAAAAGTAAACAAATGGATAGATTGAAACAATAGATATGTTATGACAATGAAATGCATCACATCTTTCACCGATACACAGTGGATCTCACTGACATGATATAAAATTCTTATAGAAATTCATTGTTTTGTAATATTCAATTAGCATCAATGTTTACTATTTTTGCTCCTTTGTTACCTTGTTTTGTCAGTTTTAAATCTCTTTGAAATCTTTACTGTTTCTATTTTTTTGCAATATTGATCTCCATTTCAAATTAACAATTTTAAATGATCATACTTGACTTATTGTTTTGTGAGAATTTCATGAATCTCTCAGAGAGAAATTGTGACATTTTTAGTCACTGATAGTTTATCCCTGATGGGACACTGATTATGCATATTAACTGAAAAATAGTTTAACTATGTTTCTCTTTTAGTTGTTTGAACACTATCCAGTCTATATGCACATTGGTTAATGATAACTTGAATGTCAGATTGATAATAACTATAATCCTCTTGAATGAGCATGCTTTTCATATGCCTAAAAAACAGATAAAATTAATAGTGCTTAGTCATTGTTTAATTGAGAACTTGGTTATCTACTTCCAGCTTCTGCTTCTGTCAGTAGTGTACATTAAAATTTATCAAACTTTTAAAGTATTATTTTGAGAATATAAAGCAGTCTGGTTTTTCGATCTCAACTCAACCATTTTAGAAAAAAAATCTGGTCTTTAACACTTTTGATAAACCGTTGTAATTGTTGAAATTCTATGATCAAATTTCCTGAATTGAATCATATGACACAACATATTATACTTTCCTTTGAACTAAGCCATTTCGGCTTGATTATGACATGAACTGTTTTATAAAAGTTGCAAACGCTAAAATCTGGCAGGAAATATGGCTTTAAGTGATCGCCAGCGGTATAATGTCATATAAATTTGTCAACACAATCGACCCTCCGTGCTTTCAGTGCTTTGATATAAGTAGGTAAGGTTCATTCAACTATGACTAATTGTTTTATCAGACCTCTCCACAGTGTTCAGACTGATTGCTGGTGGCAATCGATTACCGTATTGTTTTCTGAATAGCGTGTTACTATTTAATGTTCCGACAAATAGTAACAGTGAACATTACAGGTACAATATCACCAAGCACAATTATATGACCAAGTTAACCGTGTACCGAAATTGTGCTGCTCCTTAAACATTTGAACCGGTATGACTAAATAACGCAACGGAGATTTTTTTGACGCAAATGGCACAAAATTTACTCAAGATTTTCCTCAAATATTGTGGTTGGAGGCATGACGCTTTATATACTGTTTATTCCAATCAAATGTTATAAACATTTTTATGTAAATCTGGGACTTATAATTAACATAAACCGAAAATGTGCTTATTAAATTTTATTAGAAACTTTTATTTTTGATACTACTTTTAATATATATATATATGTGTATATCATTTATTCAAAATTTTGTTTGATGACATAACATAAAATATTCCCTTTTAGAAAAAAGTACCCCTAATGCGCCGAGAAAAAAGTCCATTTCTCCGGCATATAATCATTCAAAACATTTAAAAAAATGAAGTGTAAAACTTTCATTATGATACTGTATTCAATATATATAAAAATTCTATTTTGTTAAATAATTGTAATTTATAACCATTAATTGTGTCGTTTATGCAAAAAAAAAATCCCCAAATATTTTCGAATTCAACAAATCTTCTACAGCAGCAAAAGGACATCTCGCATGCTTCTTTTTAAAGCAAACTTGTAATAACGTGCTCTAGTCACACACCACTAAATCAAGTTTTCATGAAGTTGTTGAAAAACCAGTTTAGTGTCCATTCGAAATCATAGACTAGAGTTTCGGGGGACAGGGGTCTCTATGAAAATACTTGAAAAGGTATATTCTTAGCTGAAAAACAATGTTTGGCTGGTTAACCTTGATAAATGTTTGTCAGTTTGACAAATCTATGGTATTATTTGGCTTTTGTAAGAGCTATAAAAAGATCAAGTCAAGATTACCACCAAGATGGCTACCAAAAATTAAAGTTTAAAACTAAAGTTCGTTAAAAGAATATCATTGCAAATTTAACAAATGTTACAAACACGCTTAACTTTTTTTCAAGAAAATGTTTTTAACTGAGCACCTTTTTATCACGGTCTGGTCAAATTCAAAATGAAAGGTAAAAATGGAAACAGGTATTTAAAGATAAACGTAATTGAGACAAAACATAATTTGACTCTCCTTTGATTTTATTATTCAATTTTTACATTTTAAGAGTGGTAAATGGATGTACCGTATGACTAAAGGCCGCACCTGACCATGGTTTAATATCAGATATTCAAACAGTACATACTTGGAAAATTTCCCTAAATTGATGAATGGTTTTGTTTAGATTAACATAAGGACAAGTATATTTGAGAAATTTAGTGGGGTCAGAATAAAATCGCAAGTTTATAAAATCGTTTTCTATCGCCATAGAATATATATAATTTATTGATAAAATAATGGAAACATACATGATGAAGATCGAATGTATACATGGCCATCACAAATTTCTTGATTAATGAACTGTTTATGAATCAGAAAATGTAATACGATCGAATGTAAACATGACCATCACAATTCTTGATTAATGAACTGTTTATGAAACAGAAAATGTAACTGTAATTATTTGAATTGTAAGGTTCATATAAAAAATAGTGTCCTCGAAATAGTTATCAACTTATCTCTAAGTTATGCCTAGGATTAAACTCCTTTGATTCCAAACACTTTTATATAACGATCTGACGCGTCAGAAATAAACATCCTAGTCTGATCATTAGATATCGCCAAGCACATTGGACGTTTGATATCTTTCACAGTAATTGGAAGCACCTCTCTTGTATGTGGTGTAATCATGATAAGTCTATCACTGATACCTTCACAACAAACAATAACCGACCCATCATGTGTTACAACGAGTTGTTCTGGGTACTTTATATCATTGCTTTTTATTTTATCCTTTAATTTCCCATCTGGACCAAATTCAAAAAGAGCATGATTACAGGAACTGGACACAATGAAGCTTTTGTTGTCGTCGTTACAAAACGCTATATAGTGAGGATATGATCAATGTTTAGCGATATCAAATTCTTTCATAATGTTCCCTTTAATGTCAAGTAGCTGAACGCATGCTGGATTGCCAAACGATACAACAAGAACTCCGTTACGGTAGTCTATTCCTCTACAGTCATTTTTTTATCTTAATACTGTGACTTTTAGAAATTCCATTTGATGTATTTATGAATAGTATTTCACCTGTCGTGAATACAGTAACTGCGAATAATCCTGAATTGATTGCAGTGATGTCCCATGGTTAACCATTTGTATTTAATGTAAAAGCTATCATAAACTTTTCTAAGGTTTTAAGTTTTAAACAATCATTTGCACAATCTACAAGCAAGAGTTCATCACAGGAAATTATTGCCATTCCTGATATTAAGCTTGGCGTCCTGTCGCGTACTGCACTGAGGACATTTAACTTTTTTAACAGCGTCGTTTGAACGTCTTTTAGACTCATTTTGTTGAGTGTGCTTAACTTTCGCTTATCTGCATTGATATCACCAATGTATAATTTGTCTGTTACAAGTTTTTCTAAATCCTGAGACTTCACCAAATCAAATGTTTCAATCTCACATTTAGACGCTAGCTCCTCTGTTGAAATCTGACAGGCATCAATCTTTTCATATGCAAGTTTTGCAATTACAAACAATTGATTTATCTTATCTGAATTTTTACTTATTTTGTCTTGGCATTCTCTCATTTCAGTGGCCATAGACTCAAATTCTTTTTGGATATGTTCAAGTTGAGACACTTGTTTCGATGTCAGCTGATCTATTCGTTTCAGCACATCTGCCTCAGCATTATCCAAATATTCGTTAATCTCTTGTCGGAAAATATGAATATCTTTCATAATCTTTTCTCGCATTTCATCAGCAGCTTTAATGGTATCTACTATAATACCCTGGTAAGATGAAATTCTACGCAGAAGGCTTTTCTTGGTCTGCCCGAATTCCTCGCAGGCATCATAGTTATCCGAGACATTATTGACGAGTTTAACAGAACACGTTTTGTGGCTAAGGACAATGCAATCTCCGCATCCTACAAAATTATGGTCTTCACAATAAAACTTTATTATTTCGGTAAGATGGACTGAACACAACTCTGTACATAGATCTTTTTGCTTTTCCCTTGATATTGGCATTTCATTCTTTGACTTGATCACGTGATTTTTACTTATAGCTAATTTCCGATGAGCCTTCAAACATGGAGAACAGAGGAACTCGTTACAAGTTTCACAGAATGCGTCCGCTTCTATTGTATCACCATCACACTCACAAGGTTGGCAAAGAACTGTACGTTGTCTCCCTTGGTTAGATGTTGAATGTTTATCATCCCATTCCTTACGACCCGATACTTCCATTTTGAATCTATGAAAATCAGTCTTTTAATAACATTGAAACAATTGAAAATCCTTTCAAATTTTGAAATGTGATAATATTTTTATTTTTTTATTTTTCAGCAACATAGGTTGCCCATTTATTTTCCCCGTAATTGGTGCAGTGGGGTCGGAGAGCCATCCCCTACTGTACCTTACATTATCAATTCATGGCATATATCATCATATTAATTTAAAACATTTAAGTGACATTAAGCTCATTTTTTTTTTCAATGTCAAGTTGAGTTTTATTGACTATAAATTTCAATATTGACAATAATAATGGTGCTTGACAACAGTTGATATAAGAAAAAGATTTTGGATAAAATATATATCTACCTAAAACAAAAAGACTGCCCCATACTTTTATTAAGTATAATTTTTCCCTCTACAGATATTTCCAAAATGTTCCTTGAGCCATAAGAGTTACCGGAATATATTGAAAAACAGAGACGAATCATGGCAAAAATGTATTTCAACTTTCACTGTTTATTCACTATTTGCTTTGGATGGGCATAATGTCACTTTAACTAAATAGATACAATATTGATATGCTAAAATAATTATTAATAGCTAAAATGGGGTTTTTGTGAATTTTTAAAGTAGTCTATTGCTGAATTTACATTTTCCTTTATATTCGAATTATATATACAAAAAAGACAAAGTAAAAATAACCTCATTTTAAAACAAAATACTAAAGATATTACTACACAGCAATGTTGCATATTCATGTAAGTTATTGAATTTAATAAAGCAACAAGTATATGGAAAAGGCAAAAACAAGTTTGAGGTTAGAATTCATCTAATTCAGAGGAAAATGTTTTCATTTACCTATATAAGTCTTCTCTAAAAAGTAAAAAAGAAAAGGTTGTTGGTGTAAACTTGGAGGATTTACTTCCAAGTTATTAATATTCTCTAAATATTAGTAAAGGTCCCTGATGGAAGGTCTGTCAGGAAAGTAAAGTGTCTTAATAATATTAATAATTAAACAAGGGGTGTCTACTACTTAAAAATATCAATATTTACATAGTCTCACTAACTTACTAAATTTTTAAACATTTCCCATGAGCGTTCAAATTTTTCATATTGAAATAGCTGTTTGGCACTGTATTTTTCAGTAGTATAACTAGACACTATTTGTTTCTTGAAAATTTCCAAAGAAGGCCTTATTTTCTTCAATCTGTTATAGTATATGTACTGTTTTGCTAGCAAAATAATTTTATTTAGGATGATGTTTATATTAACATTCCCAAATAAGATATCAAAATTACTCCAATTAGTGAAATTTATATTACATTTTTCTTTGATATATGATTGTAATTGTTGCCAAAACTGTTTAATAATTTCACAATTACAAAACAAATGTATTAAAGTTTCTGGTTCATGTTGGCAGAATGTACAGTCATTCTCTCTAACAATATTCATTTTTTTAAGAAGATAATTTGTGGCTAAAATTCTATGGTTGATTCTGTATTGAAACCAGATCAGTTTTGGGTCTTTTGTTACTCTAAAAACATTACTATATATTAAATTGAAATTCAAGTTATTCATATCGCAAAGTATTGTGCGACTGTATTTTTTTGACCCAAACCAAATTACTTTTGTTTTCTCCATATTTATATTAAGGCCTGAAATGTTTGCATAAAATTTTAAAGTTAACATTGTGTTTTTTAATGATTCTGACGTGCCATCTAAGAATAAACTAGTATCATCAGCATATTGAGAGAGTTTGTACTCTGTACCATTAACACTAATTCCTTTTATATTGTTATTATCTCTTATCAATATTGACAGGATTTCTGCGCAAAGAATGAACAGGTAGGGAGACAGAGCATCACCTTGACGGCAGCCTCTTTGTAGCGAGAACCAATCTGACATGTGACCATTAACAATAACACATGACTCTATATTTGTATAAAAAAGTTTGATCCATGATCTAACAGAGGGTCCAAAATTAAAAAAACTCTAAAACTTGATGCATAAATTTCCAGGAAACAGTATCAAAAGCAGCTGCAAAATCTATTAATAGTAACAATCCAGGTATATTATTCTTTTCTGAGTAGAACAAGAGATCATAAACTAATCTTATATTTGTCGCCATGAGTCTTCCGGGTAAAAAGCCTGTTTGGTCATCGTTAATGATCTTTCCTAAAATATTTTTTATGCGAAAAGCTATTGAAGAAGATGCAATTTTATAAGATACATTTAGTAGTGAAATTGGTCTCCAATTTTTCAAGTAGGATTTATCTTTGTTTCCTTTTGGAATGCAGGTTATAACACCTTGTTTTTGACTTACTGACAGTTCACCTATGTTATATGCATGATTTATTGATCTTACTAAAAACATACCTAAATCATTCCAGAAAAATTTAAAAAATTCTACAGTAAAACCATCATTGCCTGGACTTGTATTATTTGACATGCGTTTCAGACTATTTAACATTTCATTGTAAGTAAGGGCACCTTCAATAGATTGTTTCTCATTATCTAGTAATTTTGGTATGTCAGTATTACACAAAATTTGACTTAAACACACTGTTTCTGTATTTTTGAATTTATATAAATTTTCATAATGCCTCTTTGTTTCTGCAAGTATTTCTTCCTGTTTTTGTAAATGTTTTCCTGTTTCTGTTATTAAAGAGTTCATAAATTTTGAGACATAATTTCTGTTTTCCAAATTGCAAAAGTATCTTGTAGGTTTCTCTCCTTCTTGTATCCATTTAGCTCTTGAAAATGTGATAATATTTATCGTCAAGTTTAAAAACGTAAACTAATTCGACAGTAAGTTATATCCGTTAATAATTGCTTTTTCAGTCACAATAAATGCTATTCAATACTTCGTCTGCTTGTTGCTATGTATATCTATAAATAAACAGAAGGTTTAAATATTGGAACATATTCAAAGGGGATAACAAACCGGTTAGATTTATGACCGACGTAGTTATTTACCTTGTATTTTCTGATAGTGATCATAAACGGGTTTTTAAATTGGACATAAAATTACATTATATCATAATATTATTGATCCGTTCATATTATTTTGAAGATTATAGTTATACAAATTTTCCAAAACATTAAATCTTGAATAAGAAATATATTAATACAAAAAATATTTTGACGTTTTTCCATGTGATGTGAAAACATGTCTGACAGTACTATTTCACAGTACATGCATGTGCTGCTTTTTACAAAATTACGCTATTTCTTATTATTATTTTGACACATTACATGTATTTGTATTATCAATACATTGTTTGTTCACTTGATAATTGCTTAATCATTTTGAACATTTTTTTGTGTCAATACAAAAGCATGAAACAAGATTTTTTGATTTAAATTGCAGATATTGTTCTTACGTTAAGCAACAGAATACTACTGTATTTACGTTATATTTTTATTGATCATGTTGGTATGTAGTTTATGTATTTTACTACAGCATTCCAGTTGATAATGATACGTTTCATTCAAATAATTTTGTACTTAAACCATCAATGAGATAATTCGGATATGCAATATCGGAATCAAATACATGATACCGCTTATGTAATTCTCATTAAATAATGACATTAAAATATGCTTAAACCGGCACGATTTGAAAAACAAAAGTAGGCGATATCACAGTTTAGAAAAGTTGTTATATTTGTTACAAAGTAAGCCTGAAATGTTGTCTGCTATGATACTAAACAGCAAACTAAATGTGCGTTATATATTAACATTTAAATAAAACTCACTACTTTAGTTTTACATTAGTAACTTACACAGTCCACCTTTTGTTTGACTATGATAAATGGTGTTTACACGAACATGCGTACATCTTTTGCTGACGGACGATACTTTAATATTCTACGTACACGTGTATGCAACGGAATTTATAAAATATTTGTCCGATATATGGTAAATAATCAAAGTATTTTTAAACCTTTAAACCTAGGTATTTTCATCTAAGTATATAGAGTATTGATTAACACATTGATTTTAACTAGAGCAATACAACCATGGGCATTTATTTCAACATTTTTATTGGCGTTCGCGCCAAAGCGCAACGCCCTTTATGAAATGAATAAAGAGCAATCGCAACTTTTCGGACATTCCGATTGGTGAAATGGTTGTTTAAACGAAACGGTCATTCGTGTCCCGCTATGGCGATCGCAACTTTTCGGCCCTTTCCGTAAGTCTTCGGATACACAGAACGGATACGGTATTTCGGTCTAAGCTACCCTAAGAAGCTAGACATTCAAACAAATAGTAATTAAATGCTGGGAGTTGTTGACAAGTTTATTTCCAAAATATTAAGTAAATGCCAACCTAGAATAAGTGAATTCATAGATACAATTCAAACAATACATTGCTTATATATTTATTATAATGGTTGTAGAAACCGAAAGTACAAAATGCCGACCTGTTGACATTTAGTCGCATTTGTTTAAAATTGTACATCAGTGGGCATTTTAAATTAAAAATTTGTCAGATATATTTTCAATCATGTCTGTACCGAAACAGACTTAATTTTCTTTTGGATGTCAATTATATGTACTTTTACATTAGGTTTACATCTGAAACCACGTGGTAAAACTTCTTTCACTCCTTGTTGTTTCCGAGGTTATTATAGATAATAGCCAGGGACGTTCCGATTGCCGCTATGGAAATAAATAACTAACCTGAGGCTTTTGGAGAAAATGAAATGCAAACACATTTAACAATAAATTGAACTCTTTATATTTTTATCTAAGTATAAATGTAGGCCATTTTTTACGAATAGTTATATCATAGTAGTATCATTTTCCGTTTCCTGGAAAATTATTTGCTTCTTTCTTTTCTTATGGTCCTGATTGTACTTCTGAAAGGTTTTACCGTGAATATTGAAATAGACCATTACTTCCCGATTTTTGTTGTAAGAAGCTGATTCTATTTTGTTTTAAGACAATCGATTTTATGGTTGTTTTATGTGGAATGTTGATTTGCCGAAAACTGCGATATCTAACAAC